CACACACACACACACACACACACACACACACACGCACGCACGCACACACACACAATCCCAACTCCAAAGAAATTGGGACGTTCAAAACAAAAATAAACAGAACATAATGATATGGAAGTCCTTTTCAACACTATAAAGACAAGAAAATTAATGTTTAAATATATAAACTTTATTTATTTTTTTCAAATATCCACCTTTTTTTAATTCAATGCATGCAACATGTTCCAAAAAAGTTGCTCAACAACCTGGGATCTCAATTGTTGTATTTTGTACTTCATAATGCACGACACATTTTCAATAGGAGACAGGTCTGGACTGCAGTCAGGTCAGTCCAGTACCTGCACTCTTTTACTACAAAGCCACGCTGTTGTAATAATGTGGCTTGGCATTGGCTTGTTGAAATAATCAGTGATGTCCTTGAAAAAGTTGTTACTTGAATGGCAGCATGCTGCTCCAAAACTTGTCTTTCAGCAATAATGCTGCCTTTCCAGATGTGGAAGTTACCCATGCCATGGACACTAACACAACCCCATTACACCAGAGATGCTGGCTTTTGAACTTTGCGCTGATAACAGTCTAGACAGTTCTTTTCCATTTTCCGTCTGTCCATCTCAGATGAGCTCAGGCCCAGAGAAGCTGGCCGTGTTTCTGGGTTTTGTTGACATATTAGCTTTGCATGGTAGAGTTTTAACTTGCACTTATAGATGTAGAGGCAAAGTGAAGTGATCCTGAGCCCATGTGGTAATATACTTTACATAATTATGTTGGTTTTTAATGTTGCTTAAGGRATYAAAGGTCACAGGCATTCAATGTTGGTTTTCAGCCTTGCTATTTACTKGCAGATATTTGTGCAGATCCTTTGAATATTTTGATATTGTGGATTGTAGATGATGAAATCCCTAAATTCCCTCGAACTGTCCATTGATAAACATTGTTGGACTATTTGTTCATACAGTTRTTCARTTGTTTTAYAGTTCACATCCTTRCTTGTGAATGACTAAGCCTTTCAGGGATGCTCCCTTTATACCCAGTCATGACACTCACCTGTCCAATTAGCATGTTTACCTTTGGAATGCTCCAAACAGAGCATTCCTCACCTTGCCCAGTCTTTTGTTGCCCCCGTCCCAGCTTTTTTGGAACATGTTGCTGGCATCAAATTCAAAATGAGTGAATGTTTTTAAAAGAAAATAAAAGAAAAGAAAGCAAAGCAATAAAGTGTATCTGTTTGAACATTATACAGTATAATTTATATAATCAAAATGTCTTGCCTTGGTAGCGTATTCATTTGAATAAAGGTTGAAGATTATTTGCAAATCATCACATTCTGTTTTTATTTTATGTTTAAACTAACATCCCAATTAAGTTTTGTATTGTTTTCTCATGCACCTCAGTGATATATCTGTTTTACTGTTACATTTACAAAACTTTGTCATGTCAAAAAAGAGTCAGACATAACTACGTTCAAACACTCTTTTTTTCCAACACCAGTTCTCCGAAACACTTTTTTTCCAAGTGTGGGAAGAAACCAGAGTTCGTAGAAAAACACCCACTCAGACGCAGGGAGAACATACAAACAACTGCACAGCCACAATTTGAACATTCTTGCTGTGAAGCCACAGCGTTTAGTATAACAGCACCTTGCTGCTACAAGTTATTCAGTCAAAACACTATAATCAATCAAATTCATTACATTTCTACATCAAAATAATGTATATAGTACATCAAGTGGTTCTGTGCACTTTGCAGTAAAAAGTAAATTCTGGATACAAACAAGCACATAAAAATTCTAAACAGGTTCCAGGTGCCTCAAGTGGAAAAATGTTACATGGGTGGGGGGTTGTGGGGGGACCAAACAGGCCATCTGCTGTTGTTCAATTTATGCTTAAGACGTCACAAGAACACAAACAGAAACAGGGAGGAAAAAATTAAAACTAACGTATATCCACTCATGCAAAGTTCAGTGCACGGCAAAACACTTTGTGTGTTGCACCCCATTGATTACTGTTGCTTATTTAAACACACCCTGGCTCCTGCAGCAGTGGGTAACAGAAGTGCTCACAAAAATAGATTCATTGCTTTTGAGTCMGATAACTTGAGCAATAAACCATCTGTATTGTTTGACTGCTGTTCAATTCAAAATTTTTAGCAAGTCTGCAAATTTATTGTGTTCTATTATAGTAAACACAACCAAAGTACAGCGCCAGTGACAACAAAATGCATCTTAATACCACAGCTGTGACACAGCACAGCAGATGTGGCTGTTTAAGCGGCAACACATGGGGTCTAATTAGGTGCCAGTCCTAGAATCATATAACTATAGCCTACACAGCATTAAACCTGTTTAAATTTATGCATAGWTAATGTTTTATAATAAAGATGCAATGATTCATTTCTTACTGCACTCAGCTGCTGTGCACCGATAATCAGAAGAAGTATCCACCTGTCAACAAAACAAACACTGTCTTAAAATTATTAAAATAAAGCATTGAGCTGGAAGCAATAATAAAGTCTTAGATGAATGTTGCACATAAAWATTTTTATTCAAAGTAAAATTTACTTTGCTGTTGTTAACCTAAGTAGTCATCTACAGTATTAACTCTGTGCACGTACTGTATGTGTCAGTCCAGTGGAGGACAGTTCTAGATGTACTGAATAACTTCATAAACAAGCCTTAAATGTTTTTGTCTGTAGGTAAACAAACTTAAAATACATGGAATGTCATTAATTTTATAAACATGACACATTTTGTTGCAATATATATATATATATATATATATATAATCAAATAAAACACAGTGATTGCATATTTGGGGCTCACCATAGGGGATGCAAAGTTACAGAAGGAATAACGTCTTCCATTTTGTCAGTCTACTGAACAGGTGACAGCTGGGCTCGGTGCTGCCCCCTTTGGTGAACAAAAGACACGACACAGACACCTGCAATAAAATCATTTGTCACATATTACACAACAGCAAATAGTTATCTTAATGATTTTTTAAGTAGCTTATGCAATYACAACATTTGTGTTTATAAGAATAAGTTCAACTTGTGCCTAAATTGTGGAAGCAACCCAAAAATAACAATTCAAATTGCACAGAAGTCATCAGAACTCACCCAAATACTGGTTTCCACAAAGTCCTTTCCTAAACAGCATGCTCTGTTAACAGATTCAGTCTAATCTTGTGTCTCTCTGTCACTGAAAACCAAACTATCACTTCGTGTTAGCGGTGGGAGTGAGATGTTGTTTGGGGTTGAGCATATCAGCTCAGACCACCTCCCTCGTTAAGATTCAATTAAACAGTGACTCTGTATATCTGGACACTGGATTTAGTTAGTAAACTCCAATTTGGCTGAAGCAGAGATTCCCCTTTTTCTCTCAGATGTAGTAGAGGGTAAGAAGTGATGTGAAAGTTGTTGCAGGGTGATTTTATCAAATTTGGAGTACCTGAAATTTTGATGAGCAGCGGCTGTAAATGCGCAATGAGAAGGCCACCGAGCCAAGTTTCTGTGATCCTATTTGCTATGATGCTGATGATGACTGAAGCAAAAAACGTAAGATAGTATTTGTTTTGTTTTGTTTTTATGCATTATTTTGATTCATTCTAACATTCGTGTGACTGCTTTTCTTATGCATGATTCTCTATAACGTTGTGTATGCATGACTTTCAAGTTTCAAGTTCAAATCTTGTTATATTTGTTCTGCACAGGCAGTAAATAGTAGAGTTATCTGAATAGGAATTTACCAAAAACAAATTGCATTTGTTTGACAGCACTTTGTCTTAACATCTGCACTAAAATTGAATGTTTTTCTTTAACCAAATTTCTGCTTTTTTACAACACTATCAAAACCTTTTAGTGTAGCTATACAGTTTTTTTCAGAAATTCCCCAACAAGTTCCTTATGTAATGTTTATGCAGAGTACCATCTGTCCTTTTTGTGTTTATTTCCTGTTGCCTGTATGCTGAAAGCTCAGGTCTTTACCTTCTTAGATTTGATTTACAGTACTGTGGCCTGTTTGTAATTAGACCATGAATGATTATCCAAAACATGTTACATCCTGTGTAAATRTGGGATGCTTTTGTTTGTACTTCAGTACACTTGGCACGTGCAATATTCTTCTGTGCGCTTTTGGTGAACTTGTTTGAAATTGTTTATAGAAACAGAAAAAAGTGAAAAAGAGGGACTGCTAAAATTTGTTAAAAAATAATACAAAATGTACGTATGAGGCAAAATTTAAAAAATAACAAATGATAGAATCATGGAGCATAATATGCTGAGGCAGGAGTGTCAAATTCAGTTATACAAGAGGATCGAATTCAAAGGGTCAATCTCTTTATTTTTATTTTACTGTTCTTAATTATTTATTTCATCAAACTACAGCATATTTTATGTAGCATTTTTGAACATACAAACACTATCAAATAAAAAATAAAAATGTATATTTAAATAAACACATTATTAGCTTTTATTCAATTACTAGGCCTTACACTCTACTTACAACTATTCCACTGACTATTTCTTTAGATTTGTTTCATCACAATTCAGCAAATCAATAAAGAATTTACAATGAAACCCTCACTAAAACTCTATTTCTTTAACTTTAGAATACAAATTTAAAAGTTGACTACTGCCAAGACTCCACTTAATACAGTGACTGAAAGAGAAACAAAAAAAGTATTTTACATTTAAACTGTTASCTTTGAGACCAAATAAAATGTTAACAAGGTCAGGGTTTGGCCCGTAGGCCTTGAGTTTGACACGTTTGTTAAGGNATAAATAAATAAATAAAATTACGACTACTACTTTTTAATTCTATTACAACTTAGCACTGCCACTTATCTCACCACCAATAGCAGGCAAGGCAGGTAAAGTATCTTGCCCAAGGGCACAATGATTGAGACGCATGAATTGGGGGGTTTGAACCGGTGACCCATCAGAGGACAAACCTTTACATCCTGTCGCCCCATAATTAATTGTAGTTTTATGTCCTTAACAACAACAGACTCAATATTTATGCCCAGTGCTTTGTGAGGTGGAAATGTACTGGAAAAGATAAAAGTGCAATATTTGTTGCTTGAAGCCCATTTCTAACATGTCATTTAGCCAAACTACAGTGAATTGTATTTATACTTCTTACTATCTTAGTAAGATTGCTTCATTTGAGGATGTTTCAATAAGAAACATCCTCAAGTGAAAAGCAGAAAAAAATGCAGTTTTATAAATCACAGCCATGTTGTACATGAACACATCCCCGATTTATTTTAAAAATCATATGATAACTCCAATAAATTGCTGATAAATCTTCCTCAAATCAATTTAATTTAATCTGTTTGAGCTAAATACTACAGCATTTAAAAGTGTGTTCATGAAAATTGCAATTGATGTCACATCACCAGTTCATTTCAGTAACCAGTACATTATGATGAGTAACTCCAGAACATTATCGTAAAAATCAACAAGTTTGTCAAGAATGTAGAGAAATTAGTCATAAAGTTTAAGTTTCTCTTGTTTTACTGTTCATTAAAAAAATCATTTGATACTATTTTTTTTTCTTTAGTGTGTGTGCACTGGAAAATCAAGATGTCACTGTAAAGGGATAAAAGGCAACAGAGTAAGTTGTTTGTTTCAACACACATTAAACATTTAYTGTATTATTGCTATTTTTTCTGATAGAAGTTATTTCGAATACACATTTTACAGAGTTTTATAGTTACACTATCTTTTAAACAAGAAGTTTTATTGTATAAATATGTTTGTGGTGGATTACTGGAAGCATATTAAATGTGCTATGCAAATATTTTGAGCTTTATGTCAAAAAACAACCCAGATTGTCGCTTTGATTCATTTCATGCTACTTTAAGAAATCCTTGACTTTTCTGTGGTAGCCATGTGGAGCTGCCTAAATGCTTGCTGGTAAGCATCACCTGTGTACCCAAAGCACCTCCCTGGAGCTCAGTCTGCAGCAGAGCTCTCGCCCCATAAGACACTCCTCCCCAATGCATTGTTATGAAAATGTGCTGAAGTGGGACTGTTGGAAACAGTAGGGGACTCTTAAAGAGCCAGAGGCCAATTTTGAGGCGCTGATGAGAAGTCAAATTTATTTTTGATAATTACAGCATTTTCATAACAGCTAAAGGTAACATAGTTATTTGAATACAATACAGAATTGAACTATATACCTTAAAAATACCCCCCCCCCCCCACACACACACACACACACACATACAAATGAGTTTGAGATGGCTTGACAAACTGTGAAAAACTTATATAAAAATATATAACCATGCATGGAAAATGAACAACATAAAAATATTTATTTACATCAGCATTGTTTAGGTTCTTTGTGCTATTGCACTAACATAAACCCACATTATTACACAGGGAGAAAAAGGCTTTCCAGGAGGTCAAGGTCCCCCAGGATCAATGGGTCATCCAGGATCTGTGGGCCGTCCTGGGCCAATGGGACCAAAGGTAGACTTTCAGTTGACTTTTACTCATTCTGACTCACTTTGTGCCTTCACTCAAAATCCAAATCCCATGGTTTTAAAATGTGCAGGCTGGATGATAAATTACACTGTATATCATGCAGGCTGTCAGAGTTTTAGCAGCACATATCCCGATCTCTAAGATTAATTATGGGTTGCTTTCTTTGAAAGGGCAACACTGGGCCTGATGGACCCATGGGACCAAAAGGCAATCTGGTAACAAAACTAAAGTTTTTGAGTTTTAATTTTTTTTATTTTATATTTTGTTTCAGTCTTTGTTCATACCACCCTAACGTTTTTTAAAGTTTTTCTGATTTTGTTTCTGTTATTACAGGGACCAGAAGGCAAAGAAGGATTTGATGGATCTCATGGCCTTCCAGTTAGTTGCAATATTGGTTTTATTTATTTATTGTTGTTTTTTAAACTATGCACATTATAATTTAAGTTTTGTACACATGTATTTTTTTCTAGATCTTCATGTGTGTATGCTGATGTTTAACTTCAGCTAATATTCTGTGATAGGGTATTCCAGGCTTACAGGGTCCTCCGGGAGCCCCAGGTCATCCAGGCTGCAATGGAACAGATGTAAGATTATGCAGTGGTGTCTATCTCTGTATTTTGGTAAAAAAGTATTGATGTACAACAAACATCTGTCTGATGTGACAATACCAACTACTTACAGGGAGACGTTGGACTTCCTGGTGTTCCAGGTCTTCCTGGTTTTGATGGACAACCAGTAAGTAATAAAACCAAAAACTTATTATTAAACTTAACCAAGTGAACCTTAAGCCATCAACAACTTTTTCAACTTTAATTTTACTTTCCAGGGTGTTCCAGGTCTGAGTGGACCCAAGGTAATAAAATATAAAGTTCCTAAGATCTTTGTTGAGCTCTTTGTGTTTTTAGGAAAGGTGAAGCAGCAAATTTTATCAGGAATGATTATCTTTAGGAGACACTAAAACAATCACAAGCATTTACAATCCCTGTTTCCCTAAGCTCCCAGAGCTCATTTTGTACTTGATCCACAAGAGACCAATAACTTATTTGATTTTTTTTTCATTTTTTTCCCAATTTTATCTCTTAAGTCACCTCTTATATGCAATGTGCAAAAATATGTGTTCACTTTTTATGCTAATTTTTATGACAAAAAATGAAAATAGCTGGGTCTGTGGAGTTAATGATGTAAAACACAAATAGATAACAGATGTTTATTGAAATAGCATTTTGCAGGCTTTGGTTTAGGTTTACACCTCCAGACTCAACAGGCTATGCGCACAGTGTTTAGCTGTGCGATGACAATTAGCAATTATCTGTGGACTCACTTTCATTTAATGTTATGGCGGCTGGCAGAATGTCAGCATTAAATGCCTGCAGTTCTAAAACTTTAAGTCAATGTTACTACTGGGAAATAAGCCCTGATCTCCATGCATTAAAAAATATTGTGACTTAACTTTATTTTAACACCCTTTAGGGATCACTTTGAATCCAAATATGTTGTCTTGTCTCAGCAAAAGATGCTGAACTTTATCTAAAACAAAACTAAAAATGAAACCTGACACAGAACTTACAAATACAAACAGGTCTAGTTATATATGGAGCGATGTTTACATTCTTTAACTACTAACAAAATGAACATATAAGTCTAATGTGTTTGATTATTTTAACAGGGTGAATCTTTAGCACCAAATCATTCCAAACCAGGGTTACCAGGACCACCAGGTAGAGATGGAAATTTGGTAAGTTTAGAAACAACACTGTACTGATAAACCAATTTTTATACTATAATTCTTAAGGATGAAATGCATTAGATAGAAAAGTACTAAATGAGTGCATTTAAATGTCAAATGCATTTGGACTGGTTGAAATTTCTTCTTGGTTTTCAGGGACGCCCAGGTGCACCAGGAGAGCATGGATTGCCAGGGAACCCTGGACCAAGAGGATTGCGTGTGAGTGTTTTATATTTTAACAGTAAATAATAACTTTTATTACATGTTTAATATAATTCTTTAAATTCCAGGGACTTCCAGGTCACCCCGGGATTCCAGGAAATAAGGTAATACAAACAAGAATTGTTAATGATTTGCATGAACATTTTTTAGCAAGTTAAAAAGTGAAAACAAGGCTGAGTATTTATAAGTAGATAGTAAAACAACAGCTGCAAGGTTTTTGTTTGGGCTAATTCTTAGACAATCTTTAGACACACAACCTGGGAATGTTTAGGTATTCACTTTTGTTTTTTTTTTTTCTTTTTTTCTTCTGTTGTTTTTTTGTCTTGCAGCACTCATTTATCAGCATCACTCATTTATCAGTATCTCTCATTTAYCATTTGTCATGTCTTTTATTTAGAAGGAACAATATGTTAAAGCTGTTTGTGGCTGAAATGCACAATATTTTCCTGCCTTGCCTGCTAATTTTGAGATCTGAGTCAAAAGTGTCCTTATTGATTTTATTCTTGCATTTGTTTCACAGGGTCATGAAGGGACAGCTGGTGTCCCAGGACTTCAAGGTCCGAAGGTAGTTTCTTTCTCTTTCTTTCTTTCTTTCTTTCTTTCTTTCTTTCTTTCTTTCTTTCTTTCTTTCTTTCTTTCTTTCTTTCTTTCTTTCTT